GGGGTTGTTGCTGTTCTCTCCTCCTCTCCTCTCTTCTCCTTTACAACCACCACTCGACCTGTTTGGTACGCACATTGCGCTTCATTCTACCATTTCTCATCGCCTATCGCATCAGATTACTGACTGCGCCAACACCAGCAGCAACAGTAAGAGCCCCCATTTGCACCTTTTGCGGACCTTGCCTAATGTGCGACCATAAGCACCGGCAAGAACATCTACACCAACAACGACGACGACAACAACAGCAACAACAACGGCAACAGCACCAGCAACACCGGCAGCAGCACCAGCAGAAGCGCCAGCAATACCGGCAGAGCAGTGTAAGTCATTCTTCTACAGTTCGCTCAAAAATTAAAATAACGACTAAGCCAATACAGCATAAAAGAATGCCCGCCCAACGGGTCGTCTTGTGGAAGGTAAGTTCTCTTCTTTTTTTCTTTTCAAGTATTACCAAAAATAGAATTATAGAATTTGAGAAGCTAATAAGTAACACTTAGGCCATTCCCCGTAAGTGGCGTCCGGATGCCGGCGGGTGAGCTGGCTGCCCATCCCCGGCCAGAGACTGGGCGATAGTCCCAGACGGCCTGCCGGCCCTCCTAGCCGCCCGGCTGCGCCCGGCGTCGGTGCCGGTCCGGCTCGCTCTGCGGGCTTGGGCCACCTTGCCGAGGGCCAGGGGGTCCCCCTCCTGGGCCCGACGGGCGGCGGCCCGCCAACTCGGGCTCCGTGCCCTCCGCCGCGCCAGCCGCCGCGGCCGCATGCTTGCGGCCGAGGAGGAGGAACTCGAGGAGGAGGAGGACGCCGACGACGACGACGACGACGGCGGCGGCGACAACGACGAAGACGACGGCGGCGGCGACAACGACGAAGACGACGGCCCCGTCCCCGTCCCCCAATTGCTATCTTTTGTAAGTCCTGCTAAGTTTTAGGGTATAATTAAAAGCTGACGATGTGTGACCAGGAAATTCCCCTATTACGGCGGGTGGTTTTGTCGGTTTTGAGGGTATTTTCTCCTGTTGCTTTTGTATATTTAGGCTTCTTAATGAGCTCGGCTGGATACAGACTTGGAATGATACTGTATCAAAGTTGCGACCTGCATTGAATAAAGAAATCATGTACAAGCTGTGCGAGTCCAAACCTCAAAGTGACGCAAGTTAAAGGACAATAATTTTGGCCCAGATTCCACTATGGAGGTCTGGAGTTTCCCACCAACGACACACCCTGATTTACTCAGGCATGATGCAGTTGGCTCCTGGGGGTGAAATCCCCAAGAGCCAGCAGATGAGCGCCGGCGGCCAAAGAAATGCCCAGACTTTCACTCAGCGATGCAGCATGCTGGCCCGCCGGCCCAATCCGGAATGCCTGCAGGTGCCAAGCGCCGTGGAGACATGAGCACCAGAGAATGAGGTGAAAGGAAAATCTAAACAATTTCTCTGACGTTATCAGCCCAGCTGGCCTATGAATGCCAATGTTCCCACGGATGGGGTTTATCGACGCCAAGTCTTCCTGCTCTCAGGTCAAAGCAGGAAACGTAAAGATAAGGATGCGTCAATACCAAGCGCCAAGCGCTAAGTGCCAAGCGCCAAGAGCGAGATTCGGGGAAGGATTGCTTGTGTTATTATATATCGGTGTTTGTAACAAGCAGCAAACGAATCGGTGGCTGATCTGCAACCCAGCCCTTTATCAACGTCTTTCATTCGCCCACCTTCTTATGAGATGGTGTCTTTATCTGAAACTATGTCATTCTGGTTAGTGAATGTAATTCTGTTCTTCTCCTCTGCCGTTGGCCTACGCAGCGGTTCTCACCAGCGCAATAATTTGCTGTAGCTGGCTTCGGATGTTTCTCTATGATCCGCGAGTCCAAGAACCGACAGGGCTGACACCTCCGGCGAGCACCCACCACTCGGCGGCCTTGATGATTATTTGACCCCGGCGCGATGTCTTCACTATCTCCGTATACCGCCGCTAGCTTCTCGTTAAGCATTAGCCCTTGTGGGGGGTTCCTGCACCAGAGTCTTGGCCTCGGTATCAAGCTTCTCGAGGGCCCAAGCGTATTACTCCGATCTCCCCTTCCTCCTAGCGTTAAGGGTAGAAGCAAAGATTCCGGGGCTCTAGCATGGATTTCCTTCTCCAACCAGATCCCAGTACCCCCGCCGGCGCCCCAAACACCGGCCCGGCGGGGCCATAATGAAGCCATCTGAGAATCCATGACACTGTAGATTGGTAGGCTTCTCTTCTTATCGGACAGAAGTGATGTTCCTACTGCCGCCGACGAATCAGAGATTGGAAATGTTGAAAATCTTCTACTTGCCAAGACGTCCTTCGGCGGCAGGGTTTGGATGCTGCTGTCACATCAAGATATTGTATATATATGACCGGTGTTCCAGGACTCCGGATGATCATCTGCGCCATCGACAGAACCTAGTCTCCTTGATAACTTTGACTGCCAACTTCAAACAGGTCCAGCAATCTTCATCATGGCAGGTTCTGGAACCCCGGCTCTAAGCCAGGGAGTAGGCTACGGCATCGTCTTGGGTGTTGGCATTGCCTTTGCAATCTTCATGGTTAGTTCTTCCACTCCACAAAAAAACAGCTCATTAAACGACCAACTAACATGAATTGTAGATCTCTCTCACGCATATCCTCAAGCGCTTCAATGGCGAGGTTCAAACCTCGGAAATGTTCACCACGGCTGGCCGCTCTGTGAAGTCGGGCCTCGTCGCAGCCGCCGTTGTCTCCTCCTGGACCTGGGCGGCCACTCTCCTCCAGAGTTCTGGCGTTTGTTACCGATACGGCGTTTCTGGCCCGTTCTGGTATGCCTCTGGTGCGACTGTGCAAATCTTGCTCTTTGCTACGCTCGCTATCATGCTCAAGAAGCGTGCCCCTAATGCCCACACGTTCCTAGAGGTTATCAAGGCTCGCTATGGAAGCGGGGCTCACTTCACATTCATCGCCTTTGGCCTTGCTACCAATGTGCTCGTGTCTCTGATGCTCATTTCTGGCGGCGCTGCCACCATCAATGCGCTGACCGGCATGCACACCATCGCGGCCATATTTCTACTTCCCGTAGGAGTTGTGGCCTATACCTTTATTGGCGGATTGAAAGCCACGTTTATTACGGATTTTATCCACGGAGCCGTGGTCCTCATTATCATCATTATATTTGCGCTGACGGCCTACGCGACCTCGGATGTCCTCGGCAGCCCCGGTGCTGTGTATGACCTCCTGGTCGAGGCCAGTAAAGCGCATCCCGTTGAGGGAAATGAAGAAGGTAGCTATTTGACAATGCGATCCCAAGGCGGCGTGATCTTCTTCATCATCAACATTGTCGGCAACTTTGGTACCGTCTTCCTCGACAACGGCTACTACAACAAGGCCATTGCCGCTCACCCAGTCCATGCTCTTCCGGGATACATTATTGGAGGACTTGCATGGTTCGCCATTCCCTGGCTGACGGCTACCGCTCTTGGTCTCTCCGCCTTGGCCCTCGAGTCGAACCCTCGGTTCCCCACGTATCCTGACCGCATGAGCGAGGCCGATATCTCCGCTGGTCTCGTCTTGCCATATGCGTCGGTGGCCCTTCTTGGAAAGGGAGGTGCTATTGCTACCCTACTCGTGGTCTTCCTGGCCGTGACGTCGTCCTTCAACTCAGAGTTGGTTGCGACATCCTCTATCTTTACTTACGACATCTACCGCACCTACTTCCGACCTAACGCCAGCGGTAAGAGCCTTATTTGGATGTCTCACGCTTGCATGGTCGTCTATTCCCTCGTTATTTGCTGCATCTCTGTTGGCCTGTGGCACAACGGCATTTCTATGGGCTACCTCTACCTCCTTATGGGTGTCATCATATCTGCAGCTGTGCTCCCGGCTACTCTGACACTCATTTGGAATGGCCAGAACCGATGGGCTGCAACTCTTTCGCCCATTCTAGGCACATCCTGCGCCATCATTGCCTGGCTGGTGACGGCGAGCAAGTCTTGTGGTAAGCTCGATGTGGTCTGTACCGGGTCCAATAACCCCATGTTGGCTGGCAACATCACTGCTTTACTATCTCCCGTCGTTTTTATTCCTGTCCTTTGTCTCATATTTGGGGTTGACAAGTATGACTGGCAATCAATGATGGATATCCGCCAGGCAGATGACCACGAAATGGTTAAGGAAGCCGGTGTGGATGAGGAAGCTCAGCACCGGGTTGAGGCGCCCCAGCAAGTCGATTTTGAAGAAGAGCAAATAAAGCTCGCTCGGGCATTCAAAATCGCCAGTAGCATTACCATTGTGATGTATGTATCCTCCCACCACTTGCTCCTCTTGGTACTGACTCGATTTAATATAGGACCGTGTCCCTCTTGGTGCTGTGGCCGATGCCCATGTTTGCCTCACGGTACATCTTCTCCAAGTCCTTCTTCACGGGTTGGGTTTCGGTGGGTATGATCTGGATTTTCTGTTCATTCCTCGCCGTTGGCATCTACCCTCTTTGGGAGAGCCATGTCACTATCGCGCGTGTTTGTACCTCGATGGTCAAGGGCAAACGGCCAAATGCTATAATGCAAGGTGAGCCAGCTATGACGGATGGACCTAGTGGAACGGTGACGCCGGAGAAGAAGGGGTCTGCGGCCAGTGTGGAATAGGATGATAAGCCCTCTTCAGTTTATGTATCAGGCGCTAGCTACGCTTTAGAGACTCATATTTAAAATTTCAGGGCATAGACTCCTCTGGACTTTCTTTAGGCTGTTAGAGAGTCGACATGGAATTAATAAATGGAGTGGTTTTGGACAATCCTCTCTCTCGCGTCTTCGTTTGGGATGGCATCAATGATGTTACTACGTTTAGGTTAACACAAACAGCAACTCGAATACCCGAGTACCATTAAGCTGGTTTTTAGTACGTGCGAGCAAAAGGAACTTGGAAGTGAGTTCCATTCCCGGAACAGGAGTCTCACCCCCTCACTACTCAACGATATATCGTGAGCAGGCGCAAAAAGGAAAGGTTCTAAGCTGAACTGCCCCGTACTGGAATCGAACCAGTGATCTTGTCATTACTAGTGACACGCTATACCACTTAGCCAACGGGGCTTGTCGTTGCTTGATGAAAGACGGTGAAGAAATGAGGGCTATACGACCATGACACTTGGCGTCTCCATTTGTGGGGGGTTTGGCCGTTTGCCAACCGAGAACTGTGGGCCCTATGGAAACCCCGCGGTCCACTAAATTGCGAAGACCCAGCTAATAATGCCCCGCGCTATTAGCGGTCCAGCACGCACACTGCATTATATGCGGCAATGGTTCTGGTGAGCGTCCAGGGTTTAATTAAAAGGAGGTCAATTTGCCAATTCAGTTGCTACTTACAGTGGTAACACTCCTTATTGGAGGGAGAATGTTTTTCCTTTGAAGTCGCTGGCAATAGTCTTGACAATCTGATGGGCCTAGTCTGCATTGCCAATAAAACAGAATAAAATCCCCCTTCATCAAGGTCAAGCATTGCCACGACCTCTTCCACACCAAGTCGCACTAATATGATATACCTTATTTTAAGCCACTACTCTTTGCCAAACAGGAGTCTCGTGTTTCCTAGCTGTTGTCTCACCAGTAGCCTTGGTTAGCAGCTAATGTGTTGATTATGAGCTCTAGGGTGGGATATCGGCGAGGAAGTTGGGAGTTTGCTGCAGATCAAAGGGCAACTGGTACTGTCTTGAAGAAAACACCGCACATCTAGCAATTGTGCCATGTTGACCGCATGAGTCTGAGGCCTCTTAGGAGTAAGGCTGGCGAGATGAGGAGCAGGTTTCTTATTGTAGTTATTTATTGTATCTTCCAAAACTCCTGGTCCAGAGACCGACCATTGGACCCTCCCAAACCTGTTCTGTTTCCCATTTCCCGAAATCTACTTTCCTGTTTGTTGCTGTTCCGTGCTGGAAGCTCCCAAAAGCTAGTTGGAACCTACCAGCTAGCAGATGCGCTATATTTATCACCTGTCTGCAATCTCTAACAGAAGTGAACCTTTCACATAATACAATGATGTCACAACACCCTTACAGCCTACCGCTATTCGTACCGTATGGTGATCGCATCATGCGTCACCCCTACACTAGTGTGTTAGATGGGTCAGATGAGAATGTAATATTCTGCTTACCTCCAAGTTTCAGTGTGTATGTGATGTTGGCTGATCCATATCTGGCCTCGATAGCGCCGCTCAAACAGTAATATCGATGCCACCCCATTCGCCTCTTCTTCGCCGTTCGCTTCACTGACTTTGGTATCTTACCCAAGTTGAGTGAAAGCGTCCCCACGTGACGTGTGGTGGAATTGAGATGAACTGGTGCCTTTTCATCGTCGTTGTTGCTGTAGATGTCGATCTCGGTCTGAGGCGAATGGCCGAGCATCACAGGGACGTCACACTGGTACTCGATGCTCGACGGCTTTCCCTCTGGATATGACTGGCCCTGTTTTGCGTGAGCGATTGGACTAGTGCATATTCGGGGCACTTACCTTCTGGATAAACCAGCACATCTCGATTACCACCATCTCTTGTTCCTTCTCGGACCAGAACCTAGCGTCTCTGTTAGCTCGAACGGATCGGGGGAATCACTACAACTTACGCCTCCTTAGGACTATGTCTCATCATGTCATATTTGGTCAACAAGCACGTTCCATACGATTTCCTTGCAATGCGAGACGCGACCTCAACTTGAGTCAAGGCGGGCTGGTACTGGCCTAGGCCATAAATGGCGGCTCCTTTTACCACAGCGGTCCAGCCATTCTCTGGTTGAAGGACTTCCGTACTTGAGCTGATGGCCTCGCGTACTTGGGACTTGAGGTATCGGCTTTGCCCGAAGCCGCCGACGAGAATCACAGCCGAAACCTTGTCACCAGCCATGGATATTTGCTCCTTGATGAGACAAACCACATCCTTCATGATGGGCTCGAAGATTTTGGTCTTCATGTCTTCCTGTGACATGGTGTATCGGTTGCGTCTCAACCCAAGGCTTGGGTCGACTTTGATGCTGAGAGGTTCGCCTTTGGGATTGAAGGTCTTCTTGAACTGTATCACGATGAGCTAACGTTCCACAGCCAAGGTTGCATCGTTGCGTACCGCCTCAAAGTCGTTCAGGGCAGTCACAAGTCTAGTGTCAGTCCAGTACTTGTCACCGTGGGCTTGTTTTAGGTGCCGTCGAAATCGCATGTTCAACATGGACGAACCGCATTTCCCGCCTGTGCCTTCTGTCACCTCTTTCACTTCCAGCTTGCCGACTTTTGACACCTCGTAGGATATTAAGTCGACGGTTCCACCGCCTGCATCGCACACGACGAATTTGCGACCGACTTTTAAAGTGCCAGGACTGAGGTTCTTCAGAGTGTACAGAGCTGCTGCTTCCTGCAGATTGGTTAATAAAATGGCACTCTTTAAGCTGTTTTCCGACATACCGGTTCTGTTATGAGCTGTATCCTTTGGTTTCCGCAGAACCCAGCCATTGCAGCAGCCCTCTCGGTTGCTTGCTTAGCGGCATGCGACCAAATTGCGGGAACTGTCACGACGAAGTCCATGGGCGTCGATCGCACTATGCTTGGCGACAGCCGCTTCTCGAGGACACTGATGAAATGCGTGTGAAGACATGTTAGGTAAATTTTGGTCAAGTCTACGGCCGACTCGCCATCTCTCGTCGTCGTGTCTGTGTCATCTAGTTTTCTACACAAGTTTTATGATTAGATTGAGGCTGCTTAACCGACTAGACTGGCACACCGACAGTTTGAAGAATCTACTTCTCTTTGCAGATTCCGGGATCTGGAAGCCCCACTGCCACCCTGAAGCGACTTTGCGAAGCTCGGTGGGAACCTTGGGACTGCTCTTGAAAGAGCCGACCCCAGGCCAATTTGACAGGACATGTTGAATCTCGGGCTGCACGGCCTTAGCACCAGCTTTCTGCGAAACGCAATGGCATCACTTACCCGGGTGGTGTCTGCCCAGGCGACGCCTGAGTAGGTGGTCCCGAAATCAATGGAAACGACAATTCTCCGCTCAATCATGGCCACGGCTGAAATGGTTGACTGTTGCGGTGTGGCTGTCTCATCACCGAGGTATATCAATGTGGTGGTGGTACCGCGAAGTCAAGTATGCCAGCCCGATGCTGACATGAGGTGTCACAGATTACACAGGCCTCAACGTCCGAGCCGCGAGTTCAGCAAAAGAAGATCTAGCGACAGTGCCTCCGTCATCTCCTCGGTTGGGACGGCGGAGAGCATTAACCCCCGGATTATTTGTCATCAGTACCCGATGGCCTGGTCTCGGAGGCATCAGGCTGGGCCACGACTCCATAGCCCAAGGCGAGCGCCGCTGAGGGCCTGAAGCACTGGACGAGACGGTGACCAGCTCATCAGTCTTCTGACTGTGTGGATTGCCGTCGTATCTGGAGCACCCTGCATTTGGCCCTGCATGCAGACGGGCACTAATATGCGAAGCCACTCGAGAGGCGGAAGTGGAGCAGGGATGTGACGAGACCGACATTTCGGCATTCGCATGGCTGGGAAGGGATTGGGAAGGATTGGGAAGGATTGGGTTGCCGTTGAACTGGCGCCTAATGCTAACGCACCCGCGTCCAACCGGATCACGAGGCTGGAGTTTGGGCCTGTATCGGGCGACCACGACTCCTGGGAGACGGGCCAATACAGCCAAGCCTCACACCGCGGCAGGCTCAGGACGGACTGTGGATTCCCTCGGATGCCATGTTGACGACTCGTTGGATCGACTCGTTGGACTCGCGCCCCGACATCGCGATTGAGACCGACATCACACGACCCAGACGCAACAGGACGGGTTAGATCATCATCATGGACCCAGCGGCCGAAACCACACCCCACGGCCATGATGCCATGAAAATCAAGAAGCTCTCATCCGCAAACGCCCACCTCGAGACCAAACTCGCCGACGAAATGAATCTGCGCCGCTTCACCGAAACCGTCTTGGACTCGCGCCAGGAGGAGCTCGAGTCGCAGGAAACCCTCCTCAAGACCCAGCTCGCCGACGCGCAGCGCCAGCTCGCCGAAGCCCGCAGCCAGACCAAGGCCAAGTCCAAGCAGCTGCAAGACGCCAGGGACCAGATCTTCCGCCTCCAGCCGCCGCGGAACGACATCACCGAGGCAGAGGCGCGCGAAGCCTACAAGAGCCTGTGCGGCAATGTCCAGCGATGGGCCGAGAATCGACTCAAGGGCGCCTTGGAGGATTTGGATCACGGCCGCTTGAAGACGCGCCCGGCGCCTCCGCAGGCTGCGCGGTTCGTGGGTCTCATCCGGGAACCGTCTCGGCGATGCCTCAGCGTCGACCAATCCGATGAGTATCACGTCGTGGGAGTTATCATGAACTACCTCTGGCTTGTGTTGTTTTCCAAGTCTTTCTATTGCCCGCTGGATGATTCCAGCGCCGATGGCACTGTAAGGTGGATTGATGAGCTCGAAAGTACAATGTCCCGGCTACCAAGAGGTACGGTTTCTCTTCAATTCATTGGCCAGACATATCTTGGCAGACTAACTGATATTTCTAGATGTTGCTCACTGCCGCGAATGGAGGAGTGAAACGCTCACTGCATTGACAAACCAACCTGCTTTCAAAACCCGGCGAGCACGGCACCTGAATCTAGTTACCGATGACTTGACATCCCTTCTATCAATCTTTACTCCCAGACTCTCCCCTACAGAGCTCCATGCCTCTGTCCGCCACAACATCATCGACCCTGCAGCGGACCTTGTCCACCGGCTCCACCTTGCCTCCAACTTCTTCTCGTTAAAATGGCCTGCTCGCACAGCGTCCTCGAGACTGGAGGTTTATGAATGCCTCAACCTCGCGAGTGGGGGTTTGATCCTCGACCTTGCGGGTACCAACAAAGATTCTTCATCGCGCGCCGATGTGTCTTATCTTTTTGACGTTTGCCCCGGCCTCTTTGTCGAACGGGTCGAGGGCGGCAAGAAGCTCGCCCTCAAGGCCATCTCAAAACCAACCGTCCTCGTCAACAAAGGCGACGGAGCACTTCCCCAGAAACCAACACTGGTCAAGTGGCTGTGCGACAGCGCAGGATCCGGACCGA